GTGTTTGCGAATATTGTCGCAATATAGTCGAAATTTCTCGGGGACGGCCCTGTGATCGAATACTCGGACCAGCGACGTTAATTATCTTTAATCCAATTAGCTATATATTTGCATATGCCGACTACAATGTTTTCGAGCGTTTGCGTTTGCGTCTGCGTTCATTAATGCGATGAATGTGATGTAAATAAACGAAAAATGAGTCCGCAAAAGGTATATTCAGGTACGCGCGTTACCTGAAAAGTAGAATTAAAAATTACATCTTCGTTATATTATATTCGCGATGCTTCTTTGCGCGCGCGCATTCGATAAAAAAATGACTCTGTATTAGTCTCCCTTTTATATAATATATTACCATGAATGTATATTTTGCAATTTTTATAATTATCCAACAATAAGATAATGTATTTGAAATAAAAATAAATAAAGTTGTTGCAAAGAGCAAATAATATGTAGGGAAGACCGGGGCTAATAGACTCATTTTTTAGTTTCGAATGTTTACAGAAATTGAGACTTATCGAAAAAATGAATTCTACAGCAGTTACTACATAATGATACCGTTCGATCTAATAATATTTTAATAATAAGGAGAAACTGATAACTAATATAAAAAAAATGCATTTTTCTAATGCATTTTATCTGATTCAATTAGCCCTGGGATCGAAGTAATTTGACTAAGACTATTAAAATAAAGATTAATGTATTTTAAGCTACATCTTTGGCTACATATTAATAAAACTTTTATAAAAATATATTTTAAACACAAACATTTGCTTCGCAGGGCAGAACAATGTTTCTTTTTGTAAAATTTGTTCATTTTGTGCAAAAACACGAATGAGCCTAATTTTTGAGATTAGACATGAGAGAACTAAACTTATAACATTTACAATTGAGGAAAATCTCTTTAAAGAAATAAAATTTTGAGTAAATACTATAAGAGTCGTCATAGTTCTATGCTGTGGTTAGTCTATTATCCCCATCCATTCATTTTTTAAAAATATTAACAATATACGATACACACAACAATAAAGACACATAAACAAAAAAAAACTGTTGAACTTTATTAAGTAAAAACTACACTTACTATCTAAATAGAACCAAATATCTCAGACAATCATATACGATTGTAAAACAAAAACTTTAAGAATAAAAATATTTACTTAGGTATATGATTTTTTTAAATTGTAGCGTAACTTCTATAGATATGTTCGCAACAAGATGTTACAGAAGAACGGCAGTCGCTGCTACGTGCTCAGACACATTTATGCGTGTCTCGCGTGTTTTGTTTTTAATGTAGCTTCGATTTTACCTCTATAGTTAATTGACCCTGGTCTTCCCTACTCTCTAAAATTTTTAGAGTAAATCTCACTCGTTTTCTAGACTGGCATCTTTACTCTTTGGAATGAAATATATGTGTGTGCGTGATTCAAAAGAATTTAAAAAGTTACTTTTGAAATAAAAATAATCAAAGACGAATATGAATATTTGTTTGAATGATTATAAAGAAATGAATGAAAAAAATTAAATATTATCAAAAAAGAAAATCTCAAATTGCAATTCTACCAGCAAACAGTAATGTGCCTAATTAAAAGACGCGAGGCATACGAGCGAGGAAATATTAAATTTTGTCAATTAAAGCCATTTCGTCAATTATTCCTAAATTAACGAGAAAACTTGTACGACGAACCTACTTTATCGTGTTTATTAAATTTCTTTGACCATTCTTCTGTCTCGCCTTTCGCGCAAGAAGCGGTATGGCTATGTGGCATGCCCGTATCTTATGAATATAACACGGCATAGATTGTATACGTTCGCTACTCTTTTCCTAACTTTTTTGTGTTTTTAAGGGCATTAAAAGAACAACAAGTTGTATCTGTCAATAATAAAAATTTTTTAATATTATTCTGCTATATTAACATTTAGAATAACATATAAAAGAATATGTTATAAGCTATTCATTTGTTTCAGCTAAAGCAGCAAAGAATTTTTCTAAAGAATTTAACGCAGGCTTAACTATTATATATATATATTATATTATATATATATGTATAACTATTATATATGTATGTATGTATGTGTATATACACATATGTGTGTATGTAATATAAACATTAGAAATAATGTACAAATATTTATATTATCATACTACGTAATATCATAAAAAGAAATAACTAAATGTCATTAAGTTATATGGTTTATACATAGCATTTTAAATCTCGGTTATTTTGATTTTTCAATAAAAATTGTGGAAATTATTTTTGTAATGAATAATAAAAATAGAAATAAAATAATTTTTCTAATTAAATACGAGGAATCCTACATTCGGTTAAAGTATATCTTAAGATTTAAATATTTCTGTGTGAATTTATATATATATACTATTTGATTCTGCAAACTGCGCGCGGGAATCTTTTTTTAGTCGCGAAACGCATTCAAACGCACCAAAATAGTAATACCACCTATTAAATTGACGGGTAATTTAATAATTTTTTTGATGCTAATAAGCATCTTTATAAGAATATTAATATATGTTAAAGAGAATCTAAATCTGATAATTTTAATGCAAAAAATAATATTTGTAATTTATTATAAAAGTTATTTTTACTATTTACGTCTCATCATTAATTATTTATGCTTGTTACAGTAATACAATTTTAGAAAACAAACATCTAATTCGAGATTTGTCAATTTGTGAAAAATAACAATTAATATAATATATTAATACAATGTATTATACGGTATGATATCAATTTAATATGAATATATTAGCTATTTGTTGTTTACAAATTACTAATGTATACGATGGTTCGTACAAATTATCGATGTAAATGCGACTTTAAATTCATGAAAGAATTTGTCATTAAAGTTTAATTTTATAGAAGTGAAATATTCTGTATATTAATTTGTGATATTAATAAGCCATTTAATGCATTAAAAGCAAAATAGTCTCTATATTCATCTATTACTTTAATAAAAATATCACTTTAATAAGAACTACAAAAAATATTGATGCTTTGATCCGTGTTAGGTTACAAGAGAATTTAATTAATTACAAATTTTAAAATCTCTCTCTTAAAATTGACTAAATTTAGAGTATACATTTTTAAATATCGAAAATGTATGTATTAAAACGTAACGTAATTAAAGAGAAGTAGTTTGTAAAATAAATAATTAATTATGTTAAAATTTATATCTGAAAATAAATTGTATAATGTAGACATAAATGTGCTGAACAATGATCGTTTTAGATGTGTGCGAACAACTAACGAATAAGTCGTGCATTTTTATAAGGAGATACATTATAAATACAGTTGGCTATAATACAAAATGTAACTGTTTCCGTCTGTGAACGGACTGAAAAGCAAACGTGGCTACTCAGAGCGAATCTGAGATTTTAATAAATTAACATGAACATTATCCAGCATAATTACAAAACTACAGCGTTACACGCATCCCCGGTGATCGTCGCAGATAGGATGGAATGCCGTTCACGGTAGGATCGCGCGAGATCGCGCGTTGGCGGGTCAAACGAAGCGTTAGGAGCCATCGTGACTTCCGTTCGCGCTGCACGGGGGTTGCCGCGTTATAAAAAGGGGTAGCTATTGAATTAAAAGGACGTAGAGCGTATATAAGGCGGGCCGCAGCGAGAAAGCGAGATCGCGGCCGGGCGAGAGATTCCGGTGAGAGAGCGAGCACGCGTGCGCGCGCGCGCACCCGAGCGAGGCGAGGGTGGAAAAGCATGGATATAGCGAGAGCGAGGCGAGAGAGAACGTGGAAACACCGCGATGCGGGAGAGCGAGAGAGCGAGGGATGAGCGGGATGGACGAGGATAGAGCGATACGCACGGGTTCGGGAAGGGGTGAAGAAAGGCGGAGGAAATGAGAAGAAGAGGGCTCTCTCTCTCGTCTCCTTCGGGCCGGTCGTCCGCTCGCTCATCTCTCTCCTCTCTCGCGCGAAAACTAGTGGGGCATCCAGAGGGCGGGCTACCCGCTCATTGGAGCTGCGTTCGCGGCGGTTACCGCCTACCACAAAGCGGAGACGGCGAAAGAGACGGTAACCTGGATAGAGTTTACCTCGGGATATGGGCAACCCTCGCATGGCTACCAACCATTGCGGCCCGGCGCGGCGCGGGCGACAGAAAATCCGAGCGTCGACGGACACCTCCGGGATACCTCCGGGTCCGAGACTCTTGGTTCGTCGCCACCAGCTGTCATACTTTTTTCTTTTTACTTTTCCGTCGAAGCGATCTCGCGTCCTGTTGGAGTGATTGGTGAACGCGCGATTACACTCAACTTTTGCACTGCTATAATCGTGGCAACTCTTAACACTGTTAAATGAATTTCCTAGGAGGAAACTTTCAAACTTTCAGCAGACGAGAAGATATATACCTAAACATAATAGCCCTCTCTTAAGGAGATGAATTAATTCAGCACTACTCGAAATTCCACCTTATTATATCGCCATTTTAATATTCTATTTTAATATTGAATAAGTCGAATAAATAATGGATATTTCTAATTGAAAATAAATTAATATTTTGATAATTAATATACTTAATATGCTGCTGAAATTAAAGGAAATCTGAAAATAAAGAAAATTCTGATTGTTAAATGCGAGAGTTGGAAGAAAGGCGCTGGTGCGGCTAGTTACCTCCCTGGATTCTAGTGTTGGATCTGAAGGATAGGAGCGATTTAATATCACGCCCACCAGCGGAGAAGGCGAGGTAGTAGGGACTCTCGCGAGCCGGTGGTTAAAGCGAGAGATCGACGGTGGCCGCTTTGAAACGAATGGGATGTCGATATACCCGGCGAGCCGGCGCGAGTGGGGGAGTTCGGATATGGCAGTCGGCCAGTTCGCTGTTTGCCTTCCTGAGGCACGGGCCGGTCCTCAGGCTCGTCTCTGTACACCTAAATACTCATCCAGGAAAGGCTCCGTGCGTCGCGCCGCCAGTCGCAGTCGCAGTTTTTTTTCTTGTCCGTGCTTCCTCGAGAGTTGAGGGTGAGGTGCTCGCGGTGTTGCGCGGATTTCCGCTTCCGCGTGCTGTATCGGAGCTACGCTCCCGGAGTTGAGCGGCATGCTCAACAATATCACCGCCGGTGGTTCCGTACACGGTATCTCCGGTAAGTACCGTATACACTTGAGTCAGAAAACCCCATCTGATTAGTGTGCGTCAACGAAACTGTGCTCGGATTGTAATTAGCGATCTCGAATACCGCCGATCTCCGTCGAACGTCAGTTAAAATAATCCTTGTGTGTTAAGAATAAGCTCCGATTCCCTTAGAAATCTCCTCAGGCTGGCCGAGATTCACGATATCCACCGCGTTTCCTTCGCGTTTTAAATCCAAGTTCTCCAAAAATCTCCATTGTCTTTAAACTCTGCTGAGAAGAATAGTTGAAATGTTCTCCAGAATAATTGAGTGTATATTTTGGACCGGTTATGAATACATGAATGTAAACACGCAATTATGGACTGTATTGTGATTGGTCCATTTTTAACTGTGAATTAAAATTAAAGTCATTATGTGTCGGTCACGTTCATCGATTATTATAATCATATTTTTAGCTTACAAGAATTAATCACGTTTTAGTTATCTGTTATGTTACTATGTAATCACGCGAATCATTCTAATGTCCGAAAGATCATCACTTCATGTATAACAAATGCATTTCGATCACGAGCATTGAACTTGCGACCAGCCATTCTTCGGAAGCCATTGATGTTTTGCCGACGGCACGTCGTTTCCGATTTACAATTCGGTGTGTTTCGTATATCGAATTAAATACATTTTTAACCGGTGTGAAAAAACATGTGTTCTAATACAGGCTTTCAGGATTAAGTGCCAGTCACAAGAATATCCATCGATTTTGTGGCAGCCTATTTCATCTATAACAATAAAAGCGGTACCGCCAAAAATATTAAATTTTTCTAATTACATAGTACAAGTTGGAAAGAAATGTGGAAGTGAATAATAACAGCAATAATAATAAACTGGAAATTATAAAATTCATATAAACATATTAGGCATTAAGTCCTACCTTGATCGCGAATTTGGCGTTTATTTGTGCTAAATATTTTACTTATGACCAACATTATCGTGACAAGTATAACAACAAGAAAAAATCCGATTACATAAGTTAGAACTCTGGTAGATTCAATCAGAAAAGTACAAATCAGACACTTTATCATATTAAATTTATGTTTTAATCGAGACAACCAGAAATTTAATTACAATCAAAATTCTGATTAATATAACAGAATACATTTTATTTGTACTTTTTATTGACATAACTAAAAAACGTTTTTCTCAGTGAATTATTAGTGCATTTCATTGATGTTATGAAATATTAAAAAGCAACACTAAACATCGTTTTTGTTTATAATTTCGCTTTTGTACCTTTAGAATGTAGAATGAAATGAGAGAAAACAGTGATGGCGCAATAATGATACAATGCTGTTAAATTTTGATACTTCAGTCTTAGATTTCAAACGCGGCGTCGAGTACCGTAGCATCAGGTGTCCCATAAGAAGCGTGTTTCTTCACAGCTTTTATAAGTGCGCAAGCTAGTTTATTTCAAGCTTAGCGTGTCAGCTTTTTGTTCACGTAACGTGGGATTATTATGTCGGTTTGCTACAATTAACAATCACAATTGAAAGTGACGTTGTTAATTAATCAGACATTATTACGAGTACTACGAGTGTTCCCGGTCTAATTGTAAGCGTGCTATTGTAGTAAAAGATATTCAAAATGAAAAAGAATCCAACCGAAAGAAATATCGAGCGTTAAACGATCTTCATTAAATAGATTCGATTATAAATTTAGTTATATATAATTTTAAATCCTTCTAAATCTTTCACATGCGCATTACTATAGGTCACATAACTCCGTTAAAGTTAATTACTTGCCGTTTACGGTGAAATTTATAACAGAAATGTCCGTATATCATCTCTCAGTATGTTAATTGCACCAACTAAAATATATAGAAAGTAGCGGTTAAATGTAAATTATTGATAGCGAATTGTAAAGTAGGCAAACAATTAATAAAATGGATCATAACATACCGCCAAATAATAAATGTTATTAATATTTGATAGTTGTTAATATTTTATATTTTGCACCATTTAATGCGAATTTTTACTCTTACTCATTTATTTTATGAAATAATCTTTCTAAAATTCATTTCTAATCATATCAGTATGTTTAATTCCATGCTTACAAAAAAGATAAATTTCAAATGAATTTGGATTCCTCTTAATCAATTTGATTTTCATCACCCGTCGGTTCGTATAGGGACTGTTTCGCCCGGCTAATCCACTGTGAATAATCCTACCACAACTGTGGATTGCAATTAATATCGTATAATTTATTACGAAATATTTATCATATTGATAGATATTCACAGAATCATATTTCTTGTATCGGTTTTTTATTTATACTGCAATTACTATTCGCGACTTGCAAAAATTAATGCTTTTTATAGAAGAATGATCAATAAGGCCTGTTACGATTTTACATTAAACAATTTTTTTGTATTATATGATCAGTAGGAATGTTAGTATGAGAATTATTATATGAGAAAAAACTCGAGCCATAAAACTCTAATTAATTATTAATTTAGATATATCATTCTCATATTTAAGCCCTTTTTATGACTAATAAGTGAGATATTTAATGAGATATTTTCGTTCATTATACTGGTCTGCCATCATGTTAACGTCATTTTAGATTATCTATCGTCCCTAAGGTAAAGATAAATACAGCTTACAGTGAAGAAATGAATTTTTTTATTACTCTTGACATATGTACTTATGAAATAATACTCATATATACTGCAATAATGGGATTTTCAATTTCAAAAAAAATTGAAAAAAAAAAACAAAAATCAAAAAACACAAAAATTAGTAAAAATAAAAAATCTCTACAATGATTACAACTTTGACGCGGTGTAGAGGCTTAAGCCTGTAGGCAACAAATAGTAGATCATCTATCTGTGGGCCTCAACATTTGGTGGATACCGATTCGTCAAGAGTAATAAAAAAATTCATTTTTTCTATGAGCTGTATTCATTTTCACTTTGGGGACGATAGATAGTTTAAAATGTTGATAGAGCAGTATAACGAAAATATTTTATTAATTTACTTATTAGTCATGAAAAAAGGGCTTAAGTATCATAGCGATATGTTTAAACTAATAATTAATTAGGACTTTATTGGATTGAGTTTTTCCTCATATAATGATTACTTTTTACATTCCTAATGAGCATACAATACAAAAAAAAATTATTTAACGGAAATTCATAGGGGATACAAAAGTAGCCTTATTGACACTCCTTCCTTTATTTCTGTATAAAAGTATAATTTATATTACTACGAATTATTTATCTGTAGATGTTCATAGAATCACATTTCGTATATTAATTTTTTATTTGCAAGTGCATTTATTATTTGCGACGTGCAAAAACTAATATTTTTTAAATTTATTTTTATATAAAATGTATTTATTATCTTTTTGTGTGGCATTTGCATAAAATTATGATATAAAAGTATAGTTCGCAATTTTTTATAAATAATAAATTATTTATTACTTATTATTGCGTAATTAACAAAATTATTTGAGTTTTATCTTGTATATATATATAGAAATGTAGTAATCTTATTAATTATTTTACTTTTACATTGTATATATGGTATCTATAATGTTTTCTTTGATTATAGCAAGATCGTAAATTACGTTAATTTATGATGATTACATTTTTGTTAAGTTAAGAAAATTTTTTTGCAACAGGTTTATTTTAGAATTATAAATGAAAAAATTGTCAGGTAGGGAAATTCAGGATGGAAAATTGCACGAAAGAATAGTGAAATGTGCCGGTAACACGTGACGTTGCACGTCTTCGATCTCCATCTCAAGAAAGCCGCTTCTCGAGTTTGATGATCTTAATTACCTCAACACTGATTACATTACGCGAGAAGTTGAGGAACGGTTTAGAGAGTTAGAATGTTGCAGGTGGTGAGAACTGAGTAAAGCGCTACACGTTAACTGGATTAAAAGAAAGTTATAGCTCTATTTTTTTTCACGTTAAGCGTTGATTTTTTTCCATCATATTTATTCTGTCACCATGCGATTTAAACACTTGTTTCTCGTTCAATTTTAACTTAACGTTACTGCGATTATCGAATGAACTAAATAGCCATGGCAACGCATACGAATAGCGAAAGGATTTCTCTTTTGAAATTATTCATTTTTATTCAGATAGGATCTCGATTTCATCCAAACAATCGTAATCGTCGTCCGGAGTAAATTATATACCTGAGTTCCTACGGGAACGTGAGGGACGTCACACCGACGTTCGACTTGTTTCTCATAAATTGCACTTTATATCTGTCTTCCGTCAAATAAGATCAAACATATACTTACTAACGGCCGGCCGATTCGCAGACTACGTCGATACGTCTTCAATTACCATCCTTCAATTTATCAAAAAATGAGATTTGGGAACGTTGCGCGCATCTCGCCACACTTAAAGTGTGTCCGTTAAAATTTTTTATGATATACGTTAATTGTATTTGGTGCATCGGCCAATCCGTTGAGACAACGCGGGCATAGCTCGCAAGCGTGACACGCGAATAAATACGTCTGTCACGACATTTCCGAATAGTAATGTGATTTATGACTTTATTATTCAGACGTTTCAAGCGGGTGGCTGTCAATCACGAGGTTTTCAAATGTCGATAAACGCGCGGCCGAGCGTTATAAAAATTTCGTTTTTTTTTTTCTACAGCCGCTTCACGTATCCGTGAATTACCGCGATACTCCACGAGCGAAAAAATACACGTGTAGAACGAATGCTTAGCTGCGTCCCACGCGATCCTTTGGTGATTAGCGTTTTAATTTGATTATTATCTTCGATAATCCGGTCAATTAATGCGGAATTAAATAATCTTTAACTAGATGGAAATTATCTCGAAATAATACGGGCAATTATGCAAAGTAAATGTTGAAGGAGATTTGTTTTCTTTTTGGAGATGTGCTATGATAGTTTGTGATTCATATTAGGATTACGCGCGATATTTGTGTGTGTATGATAACAGAGTTTATCATTGTTGTATACGGAGAATCTCGAGGAAGATAAAAAATAAATCCGTATAAGAATACGAATTCTTATGAAATAAGGAGTCTTATAAACACCGGAACCATCAAATTGTATATAATAAAATAAAATCATTAAGTTTTAACGCGCGAATAAAAAGAGCTATCATAAAATGACTTGTCATAAAATTCATTCATATGAAGATATTCATTCAGTTAAGTTTTACTACACGATGGCTTGGTAATTCAATATTGATTCTCGGTATATAACTTCATATCTATGGGCACACAAACGAAACTGATAGAATATTTTATATTAATTCTGCTCTTATTTTATTATTGAAAGTATGAATATTCAAATCAAATTATTAAATAACGAATTTGTATAAAATGCGCAGTGAAAAGATCTTCCAGGAAATTTCTTTTTCATACAGTAAACAATAATATTTTTTATTGTTTTTTTTTTTAATATTCACATTAAAGCATTACATAGAAATTTAGAAAAAGTACGACTTTAAGATCGTTTAGTCAATAAAAAAAAAAACCTTTGCATCAAACGTCTAATTTTACGAAAAATTTATCACGTATATAAACGTCAATATAAATGTCAAAACTAATAATAACCGTTTTGTACGAGTTGTTACAGTGTTTCCTATATTTTTCGCGTAGCGAATCGCATTTATTCCATCACATTTATTCCATTGCGCATTTGTCGTTCTCCGTGGGTGGAAATTTTTAACGAGTGGTCTTTTCCTCCTCGACGCAGAAGACGCGTCGTACGTTGCGATTGTACCTGACTAAACTAGTTTACCTCATTACGTAAGCATCTTTGACAATGCACAACGACGTGCGATACCTGCGATCTGACACGTAGAGTAGTGTGGGTGTTCCGATCTGAGATGAGATGGGACACCCTCCGCGATACAACGATGCGTAATGCATCCACATGACGTACCATGGCCGCGCCACGTACGCACGCACGCACGTACACGGGGTACATACATGCGCGTATTGAGTATTGAGACGTATGTTTGCGCGCTTAGAAGTCCGGAGTATACGGTGACGATTCTCGCACCTCCTCGCTAAGTGATCCGTACACCCCTCGGCCAGCTTCTGCTCCTATACAAATTTAAACTACGTAGAGCGGGCGCGTGGGGCGGGCGAGCGAGAGGCATGTGCGGAGCACGAGGAAGCCCGGCAAAAAGAAAAAAGACGGGAGAAAACTGAAGCGGCGTGTCTTCTTTTTTTCTCTGCCTTCTTACCCATCACGTCGCCGCGCGCTGGCACGTAGGAGCGAAGGATGCACAAGATCTGAAGCGGTACGAGAAGGAGCACGGCGTGCTGGGTGTGAATCTGGGCTCCGGTCTGTCCGCGGGTGGTGGCCTCACGCTTCATCAGGAACTGATCATGACTATGCCCGGCACAGGTACGTAAAGCTCGCTCTCGTGTCTGCTTTCGTTTCCTTCGGTCAAGAATCATTCGAGAGACACGGGACATTTTAATTCGATTAATGCGAATCACGAGCTTAAGGACGTATTACATGTATTTTTTTCAATTATGAAAATTAAATTATGAAAATTTGTCTATATCGTGTTGTATTTAGACACAATTTAGAATATCGATAAGAAATTATCGATACTTATTTCATTAAGAAGTAGATGCGTGTTTTTAAAAAATAATTAAGATAAAATGAGACAATTTTCACTCAAATTATAAAGTTGTATTGTTAAATATAAATATTGATGTTAAATTGTTTCGCATATAATATTCATTTTTATATGGAAGATTTAAATTTTTAATTCAGTCACTGTTTGCAGAGAGAAACCTAATACATCCTTAACCTTCCATCTCACAATTTTGATAGTAGAATAATGTCACGACGCTAAAAAGGAGTGAATAAATAAAAGGAATTTAACATAAAGAATTTAATTACATAATTTATTTTATGCGTTTTTTATTTACATTTTAAGATAGTATCGAAATCGAGAATGATTCATAATTGTGAACGATTGACAGATTTCATTTGTTCATTTAACTATCTGGATGATAATGGTAAATGGAAAGATGAATCACATCGATTTTCTACGAATACATGAGCAATTGCAATAAGTGTATGATATATTCTCAAAACGGATTGCGCGATGTTTTCATTATGAGTTAGAAGGCGAAACCATTTTGCTGAGTGCAATAGCATATTTTTATATCATTTGGGAGAAGTATTTATATAAATAGTATTTATATTGAAAAAGGTATATCGCGCGATATTTATTTAACCGTCATTTATCAGTTTATATTTCGTAATCATCACGATAAATTACAATAAAAGTGTCGAAACGTGTTAAACTTAATATAACTTAAGTCAAGTTAAATTTATTAACAATTCGAAACTATTTAAAACCAAAGTACAATCACGCAAATATACAGATTTAGAAACTCTTATTTAATAATAACATTTACACTGAAAAAATGTACTAAATTTATATTATTAATATATATTTGTTTAAATAATATTAATTAAATGTAAACATGTACTTATTTAGTACAGACTCATTAATTTGATTTTACTATTTGTTTTATCGAGTAAACATTTATTTCTACGCGCAAATGTTTAGAGTTAGTATTATAAATAGATTATATATATCGTAAAAGTAGATCAATTAAGATTTAGAAATTTTTTTCAGTGCAGAACAATATCATAAATTAAAATATCAATTTTCAAAATTATTACTCCGGATTTGATGTTAAATTGATCATGTCATTTTCATACGTCACGTTAACATTGAAGTTATAAATAAAACTTAGAAACGAAAATGTTGATTAAAACGCGCATTAAATACAATAGTTTAAAATTTAGCTATTGATCGATGTGCAGCACATGTTAAATTTAATAAGCATAGTTATGAAATATCTTATCATTAGCTTGAAATATAAATATTAATCTAAGATATTTATTAACAATTATTGAAATTGAAATAAAATTGATAACTGTCGATTAAATAAATATCTTGATATTGTTACTATGCGATCTTCTAAAGAAGGAAAAACCTTATTGATATTATACTTGTTCTGATTTTACACTTTTTTTATATAGATGATTTTTTTATGTCGATTAATTTTGAATAAATAGAACACAACGTACATTTTATTTTCTATTTTTCAAAATGTAGAAGATATGGAGCAGAGAAAATCTGGTTTTATCTTTTAACAGCCTTAGCATAAAGCATCCTGAAAGTTCGACATGCATCCTAAACGTTTTATACATAATGAAAAATAAATTTAAAAACTATTTTTATTGAAATACATTTTATTTCTACAGCAATTGAATTATTTTATTCTTTTTTTGACTTTTATTATTGCCAGTACTCTTTTAAGGGAACAATTTGAGAGTGCTTTATACTTATGGCCAAGGCTGTATCTTTTCAATTAACAAGTAGAACTAAAAGTAACCGGAGAAAATTCAATACTTTACGTTATTTAACCATGGCTCTGCATTTTAGGTAGCGCGGCGGCGATCGGGCAAGGTGATGATAAACCTGCGAAGCAAAAGCGACATCGGACGCGTTTCACCCCGGCTCAGCTCAACGAGCTCGAAAGGTGTTTCGGCAAAACCCACTACCCGGATATTTTCCTGAGGGAGGAAATAGCACTAAGGATCGGCCTCACGGAAAGTCGCGTTCAGGTAGGTGTGGTCAAAATGTACACACTGCCGATGGCACGAAATGATTAATTTCAACGTGTGCTAGAGAACTTATCGCGTGACTTCACATTGTGCCAGAATTACGTGCGGGCTTCTACACGTTAAAATAGTTACAAATCAGCAACTACGTTCGGACGCTTATTTAAATTGACCATTGCATTAAAAAGAATACATTGATCAAACTCTTTATAATTCGACTCATCGGAAATATTAATCATCTTTCATGCAAAAGTGTTTCTAAGATTTGAAGATGACTCGAAAATGTAATTGATTTGAAAGTTTTAACGTATATGATGCTATGTATAATTGAAACCTTATCGCATTAAATTTCTTATTTGTTTTTGCGCATCAATTTTTGTACTTAACTCTTATACATGCCCTTATTAACTCATTTTATTATTAATTATCTTTTCCCCATCAGAAAATTAGATTAGTTTTAATTTCTTGTAACATATACACTTTGTGCAATGACTTCATTTATATAAGTGTCTCAGTTATTGTAGTGATTTATTATTGTTATATATATTATTACATAAAATATGGATTTTTGCATGAGCAAAATAATAATACGCCGAACATAACAATGTAAGACCCAAAGAACACATAATTTTATAAAAATTTATAAATATAAAAAGATAATGTCTCTGACTGTAAAAATTTCGTGACACGGACATATAATGAGAAATGTTAAGGCATTAAAGATATCATAAGTTGTCACCATACGGTAACCTCGCGGCTATCCTCAGAAATGTATACTCAGATAGTACCGGAACTTTGGTAGAATCAATTGTGCTGGCCTACCTCGGCTTTTTGGATTAAAGTGAAACTTGGAGCAGTAGCTAAGCCCTCGCCCTGCGGGGTTCCGAATTTTGGTGGGTTCCACTTGGTTGCAAGGCGACCGCGAAACTTTGCGGAAGCTCGCAAGTCCTGTCTCTGGCATCAGGAATTCCGGGATCAAAGATCCAGAAATTTCAACCACGATTCCCTCAAAAGGTTCTCTGTTCTCTTACGTATCAATCTATTAAAGTCTTTTCAATATAAAGACATAAAAGATGTAAGATGATTTGAGAGAAGACGCCATTTAAGCCTTTATTCTTAATGTCACATAATGTCATTGAACTTAGTTAAAAATATTTATAGTCTGAGACCTTTTTTATTTATACAAATGAATGCTTTTAATATTTTGGAAAAAATATAACTGGTATATCATATCTTGAAAAAGTAACATCTTGCTCTTATACATGCGGATGTAAGATGCCATAAATAATTAAATGACGCAATAAACTTGCATGTTGTACTTATCTGCAGTTTTTATTTAAACAGCATTTGATTAACTTAAATAATTTGAACTATATAAAATATAAAATATTCCAAATTTTAATTTATATAATTGTTTTAATGTTGGTATTAATTAGGGAAGATCATGTTTTGTACTTATTGTTATCTTCGCTCAAGTGTAACAGGAAGATGTCATTTATGCATATAAAATTATTACAAATTAACTTATACCAGTCATATGACTATTAAAAAATACTAATCAAAATCATATATTATTTGTTCGGTTTTACAGTAAGCTGTATTTCGTCAAATCTTTTTCGATGTTGATGCACGAACATTTTCTGTCGATAGTTGCAGTTTATCACACACTTATGCATAATCAGAATGTTCAACACGCGTTCTATGAAAAAAAAGCTATAAACAAAATCTTCCTCTTTATATTTCCCCCTCGAGTCACCTTATACAGAAAGAACGATTTTGCTGAAAGATCTAAAATTTTGCTGGATACTAGATCTAAAAATAGTTTTATTAGAAATTCAAATTAATTGTTAGAATATAAAAAATTTTTGTAACATTATTATTTTTTTAGATTCCTACATAATTATTTTGATGGTTCAACAAAATTATTTTTAGATCTGTATCTCCGACAAAATTGTAGATATTTCAGGAAAATCGTGTATATATATGGATTTATTATCAATTAGCATAATTACAGTTTAAACTCATTATTGTCTAACATGTAATTCAGAGATAAGTTTTATTTTCGGAATAAAATTTTTAGAGGAATGATTTATAAGAGAGAATTAATTATACTATCTTATAATATGCAGAGGTGTAACGAATCAAAAATAGCTCATATTAACGATGAAAATTAAAAATAGATGCGTCAACAATAAACGTCGGATCAAATTAAAAAAGACACAGTAAATCGAGGCATCTTCGTATTATAATTTAACGAATATGATGTGTTTTTGACAGCAAGAATACATTCGTGATTTCCGCAGTTTATCTAAATACAAAACTGACGGAAATCTCAGAATTTATGAAAAGGCTTGAATTTTTCTGTGTTATTTATGTAAGAGTTTGTCGACCTCTTCGTTCGATTGTTGGGCGCGTATTTGATTAAAAATTTGAAAGGAAAGTTAACGTACGATATTACTCCCTTAATTCAAAAGGAATACAATTAAAAAAACCGATTTTCAAGGTATTACCATGAACGAGTTAAATAAACATTATCCTATCAATTATTGAAAGTGAACTTAATTTTATAATCAAAATCGTGATTACAATTTAAGAGGTTAAAAAAATCATCAAGGTTGTCACACAGCTTAAAAAGGATGTTTTTTAAGGGTTATGAAATGAAAGTGACAAAAATGACATTTGGTCATGTTAAGAACATATTCTTTTGCTGATATTTGGTTAGTTATTAATTTTCTGTCAAATTGAAAAATAATTGTTGTTTTTTCTGAAAAATTTTTTTTGTTAAACTTTTGAAAACGGAGGAGCATTATTTTAAAATGAAAAATTTTACGCAATAATAAAACTCAAAACAATAAAGAGCGGTCGCTAAAAGTGATGAAAATTAATAGAGAAAATTATAAATTAAGGTTCCAATTTATTATGCTTGCAATCAGTATTGATATTATTTTGTTTGGTCAGAGGATCGAAAGGAAATGTATTACATTGAAACTAATTTTAAAATGTGGATAACATTCTTAAATATCAATTACTCTTAATCTTTACATTTCGATGATAATTATGCGTTAAATTAATTTAAAAACCACACAGTGCAGTTGGAAAATTATCTTTTCGATCGGAATTTGACCAGCGCGATAGGGCGATTTTGACCTCCCCGCGGCTATCAGCTGACAGAACTTTTTTAAGTCTCCGGGGCACGTCTAGAAAAAACGGAGTTAATAGAAATTCATGAAAATTTTATTCGCAACTTGGAGGCGTCAGTCAAGCTGGGCGTTGTGCCGCATACCAATCAGCCACGCTCCCTCTCGCGTGCGCGTATATAAATTCGCACATGCGATTGGCCGGATATGACGCGTATTCCCGTACTTGTTCGCTGTGTAACGAAATCTGTCTGTCTGTCTGTCTGTCTGCATGGCGGGAACAGTTATCTAGATATCGTCGATTAAGAGTACTTTAAGGCTACTTTACACTCGAGATAATTTTAGTTACGTAAGAAAGAAAAGCTTCTGCAATCAGTTGAGATATACCTCGAAGTTCGCAGCGATTCGTGAACTTTAATTTGCGTCGCTTATAAATTATTTTTCCACATGCTAATCTCATTCCGAGATATCGTTTTTTCGATATCCCGTACTTATTTCATAATATATATTTTTAAGAAGTCGATATTTTCTTCTATCGCAATGTCTGCTTCTCGACGTAAATTTTATCATGTCGCATGGAAAGAAAGGTTTTGTTAAAGTATCTATCTAAAAATTTAGGTAGGTCGATTTGAAAATAATTTTATTGGACCATCAAAATAACTAGAGATACCCAGTCGATTATTAGAATATCAAAATTTTTTGCTACATTGTTTATTATGTTTGAGCGTTCTATTTATTATGAGCAATTATTAAGATCCAACGAAAATATTTGGTTAAATTTTGGAATATCGGAAAAATCATTCTTTCTGTGCAGACTCGCGTGACATATTGACCTCGGCGCGCACTTTCCGATTGTTTAACGAATTAGTGATTTCAAAGTCACCCGTGGTACTCGGTGACTTCTTTACCTCGGACTCTATAGTGGCGCGTGTTCGTTTCGGCGAAGCGGGAAACGTCAGGCGAGAGGAAATTAAAAAAAGAAAAAGATGGAAAAGAAGAAAAAAGGAAGAGAGAAAGTAAAGGGAACGGGAGAGAAAACGGACCGGGATTCGTGGGTTCTGTCGGGCGGCAGGCTGCCTAATTGAAAGAGGTTTTCTGTGGGCGAGGGTAGACATCAGCGTGAACGAAGCGTTTCCAAGGAAACCCGGCGGCGGGCACTCGTGTGGAGAGGGCCTTCGGCACCAATGGGGCTGCGAGGGAAAGGCGCCGGCGCTCAGCATCGCTATACTATCGAGCGTTGCTATCAAAGGTTTCTTGACTTGCCATGGCGGATCCAACGCGTGTTTTAAGGACGGCCGAGTTATTCCTTTTTTCTTTTTATTTCCCTTTTCTTTTATTACTTCCGCTCTGCCCGCCGATTATATACCGTGCCGATTATTCCGCAGTAATGAACTTGAATAGAAAAGATCTTGATGATCAGCGCAGCATGATCATCCCTTTGCGGCTACCTCATCTCACGTTCTGGGATATCTAAGTAACTGTGCGTTTCCCCTTTAATTATTATACGTAATGAGTATGTTTAAAAATTCCAAAAGTATTTTGAGAGAAAAATATTCGGTATTGTGACTATAATGCACTAAAATATGATTGATAGCTCCATTTTTATAATTATTACTACTACAATTTATAATTATTTTTGAGTGCTGAACGAGTTATAACGACAAATAGTTTTCTTTTCGTTTTGGAAATTAATATAAATGCATATTTTGCGTAATAACATTGCGAAATATGCTTTAATTTTTCTTAATAATAAAGCAAACGTCATCTAATAGTTGAGTATTTTAAAACGCAAAAATGTATAAAGTTTATACATTTTTGCTTGTTTATATAATACTATGAGCATTCCATTCGTTACATTTCACTTGT